GTGTATATACCCCCCCCCCCCCCCCCCCTTAACTAGACAGACCAACAGACCTATATGGATGTTTTCCTCATATTATATATTATTTATATATACACCAATATTTATACTAGGGCAGTGGTTCTCAACTGGCGACCCGCATGCCCCCTCTTTTGGCGCTTACACATTAGCGTCGGCATGGTCGGTGTTTGGTCAGGTTGGATGGCGTGAGTTTGGGCTGGTACGGGCGGTGTAGTGTTCACATGTAAATCCAAGGGAATTCTCAAGAATGCAGAAATCCCCGAGCCTGTGGGCGGCGCTTAATACGAGCAGGAAAGTCGGCTCCATAAGGTAAACAAAAGGCGGACATGAGCTGTGTTGCTTTTGGAGACTCTGAACCACATTATTTTATTAATTTGCTGTGTGTGTCCTCATAATCTTGTGCCACACACACACACACACACACACACACACACACACACACACACACACACACACACACACACACACACACACACACACACACACACACACACACACACACACACACACACTGATTTCTCCCCTGAGCATCTCTCTGCTCGCCAGGGCAAGAGCTCCGATGCAGAGAATAGGAGTACGCATGCACACACACACGCACACACACACACACACACACACATACACACATACACAGATTTCTCCCCTGAGCAGCTGTCTGCTCGCCAGGGCAAGAGCTCCGATGCAGGGAAAAGGAGTACGCACACACACACGCACACGCACACACGCACATATGCGCACACACACACACACACACACACACACACACACACACACACACACACACACACACACACACACACACACACACACAAAGCTATTCTTTTCTCCCATTCCCACACCTAACGGCAGCTCTGTGTTGAAAATGCAGGCCCTGGTGTGTGTGCCAGACTCTGAGGTTTCATCTATTGAATACCCGGAAAATTCACCGTTACGCACTGTGCCCCAGAAAAATTTCTGATAGGCTGAAAGGTTATATTTATGGACGTTATTTTGGGGGGGAACAGGGGGGACATGTCCCCCCCCCCCCCCCACTTTTTCCAAAGTCAAGTTTTGACCCCTGCACTTTTTACCATCCAAAAACAATATTACGCTATATTAAATTGACACTGGTTGAGCTCTAGGACCAAGCAGTAAACAACCGTTTGTGTTGAAGCCTGTTTCCCATTAGAACATACTGTAAAGATACCATACCACCCCCCCCCCCCCCCCCCCCCCCACACACACACACACACACACTTCTAAAGTGAAAATTACGTCCATGGGCGACGGTACTGGTACCTCATGATCCGTTCCTTACAACCGCTGTTTCTCCCTCCCCAACCCACCCCACACGCCCAGCGTTGCGCGCTTGGCAATAATTAATCTGGCCCAAAAACTCCACCTTAAACCAGTTCTCCCAACATGATCACATACAGGCCAGCCTGGAAATGCATTCTTCTTTTTCAATCTCTCCTTTTCTGCTCCACCTTTCCTGGCCCGTCTAGGTCCATTTTGCCTCTGGGGCCAAAGGTGCAGTGGTGCAGTAGCTGCTCTGTGGTGGGGGGTGTCTGCAGCGCTTTGCCAGACCCTGATAGTGAGATGAGGGGGTGTCTTTGTGCCCAGTTTGCTTAGTTTGTGTGAGCATCAGGAGAGCAGATGCCCTGATGAGCTGCATGGTGAACTGTTCATTTAGATATTACGCACGTCATGACCAGCAATCACTGAGCGGGCCAGATTAACAGCCAGGCCACCGGGAAATCTCCAGTTTCTCCCGATTACCAGTCCGCTGCTGCCCTCTGCAACGCTTGCGAGTGTATCAGATGCAAAATAGATACGCCAGTTTCCTGCCGTCACCTCAGACTAGACAGGTCATGCATGGAGCTGAACTACGGGTTCTGTTGCCCAGAGATCCCCTCCACCGGCAGTGTTCATTCCAACCTCTTGACCCCCTGGATCGCATGAGGATCTTCAACACAAAGGGTGCATAGACTCTGCACAAACGGTGTTGGATGGTTTAATGAATAATCTGTAGCTTATCAAACCATGCAGCCAAACTGATTTCACAACCCAGACATCACAACAAGGTTTTTGCTATAAATATCTAGCTTACATTCCATCATTTCATTCATTATCTTTCATGTATAATCATTAGGTTAGAAAAATACAATTAAATTCATTTTTATAACTACATCCTTGAATTAATACGAAGTGTGTGTTCCCTGAATAGTCAAAATAACCTAAGGTAACATTGAGTCAAATATTCAAAGACCAACCAGATTGATAATTCATATTTGAATGGAATATCACATCTTACTGATCATTTAATTTAATATGAAGCCAATCCAAAATGCTACATAAATGGCGAGCCAGCCAGGAGGTGGCTAACTGACACTGACAAAAACGTTCTGTTCTGGGGATGGATCTGTGGCATCTAGAGCTCAATAAACAAAGGAGGATGCTTCAGAACATGATGCACAAGCCTGATCATCTTCTTCACGAGACAATAATTCAGCAACTAAGTGTCTTAAGTCAGAGCCTTCTTTAGATCTGCTGCAACTAAGATGGCCCTTCCTGCCCACAGTTAGAACCAGCTAGAACCAGACACAATGAGTCTTTGAAGATACCTCAACAATGATTTAAAACAGCATCTAATAATGAAATATTTTAGTTGAACTGAAATAAAACTATTTCATACCCTTATATAAGTGAGCTGTGGTTCATACCACACATCTACAGTCCTGTCCCATAAAATGACTTGACTTGACTTGACTTAGCTTAGCTTAGCTTAGCTTGACTTGACTTAACTGATACACTTATGTAAAATATGCTGCAGTAATGGTAATAAGTGTTATGAGCGATGGTGACAGAGGAGTTAACCAGAGGGTTGCAGGGTGTGTCCTTGGGCAAGACACGTCACCCTCCTTGCTTGCTGGTAGTTGTCAGGAGGACTGGTGGTGCCTGTGATCTGCCCAGGGAAGCTGTAGCTCATCACTGCCAGTGTATTAATATGTGTGTGAATGGGTGAATGCAGTAGCGGTTTTAGGCACGGGCAGACAGGGCAGTTGCCCGGGGCGGCATTTTTTCATGACACAAAAGGGGCGCACAAGCGCGGAGTAAAAAAAAAAAGGAAATCTGCGCCGCACCGAGGTTTTCTATTATCTGTCTTATGACAGTGTCTGGATTGGAAACAGCAAGTTGGCGCCCCCTGCAGTTGCAGGCACTCCTGCTGACTGAGAACGTTCACGTGCATCGTGTGTCTAAAGAACAGGAAGGGGAGGGGTGCGGCGGGGGAATTCACCTCTGCGTCTTTCCCAAATGAAATGAGCGTGCAGGGGCTGAATCAACTGTATTAACATGGCTAAAGTCAATCACATCTTAACGTTCTTCCATATTTCATTCATAATATCATAAACACAGGCCTATCATTCTTTCAGGTTTCTCTGAATTGTGTGAAATGGCCGAATAAAAAAAGGAAAAACAAAACGATTTTGTGGTCACCCCCCCATCAAGGTCAAATTGATTAGTCCTGACTAAAGGAAACTTACTGAGTCAGGAGCCAAACAGAAGAGATGAACATAAAAAGGCTAAAACCACCAGGTGCCCCCATTCAGGGGGAAAAAAAGAAAAAAGAGCAGAAAGATAAAGGTATGTAGCTCTCATGATGCATGTTTTCAATTTTTTGAACCAGTTAACTGGGATTTTAACGGTTAAATGCGGTCAGCTAATTGCTAACAGAGTTAATAGGGCTGAAATATTTAAACGAATATTCAAATGGTTTGAAAAAAGTCCTTGAATCGTTTTTTACTGATTCAAACTAGGATTTGTTAAATGCTCACTGCAGCCTGTGGCCTGCCTGAACAACAACAAACACATGTTGATCATGTTCACATAATAATAAATCAAACAATTCTACAAGCAGAAGAAAACTCCCCAGTCACCACTAACTATCCTGTTTATTTATTGCAGATGGCTGCACTGATTATTTTTTACATGATTTGTTCTGTAAAAGTTGGCATTTTTGGTAGTCTACAGTTTTTTATGTCAGTTTAAATTACAATTTCAGAGGCAATTCTAAAATATTATGGATCATGAGATCTATTGGAGATCTACCCCAACTTTTGGACTGCTCTGCCAGTCACTGTGGCTCAAGCTGAGAGGAGCTTTTCAAAACTTGATCAAGTCATACCTGAGGTCACCTATGTTTCAGGGGCGGCTCACTAACCTGGCTCTGATTAGTATCAATCACTCAGTAGGGGAGCAGATTTCATGTGATGACATTATTGATGATGTTGCATCAAGGTTAGGTTTTAATTTTAGTTTGTGTTTTCTATTCTAAGTGCAATGCTGTAGTGATTATCTTTAGTTTGTTACGTGTGAAATATTTTTGCTATTTAGAATATTTATTATCTATTATGTTCATATATTCTTAATATTTAGTTATTGTTTGTTTTTGTATATTTGATTCTATATATTTTGATACAGTATATAATGTATAGTGCTTTACATTCTGACAACTTCATAGTAATTAATGTAAATATGCGCAACTTAGAAAAATGAATGTTCAATAGTCGTTCTAATAAAACATGCCTGTTTGTAGAAAACATGCGTGTGTTCATGCAGGTGGGGTGGTGTGGTGGTGGTGGTTGTGGTGGTGGTGGTGGGGGGGGGGGGGGGGGGGGGGGGGGGGCGCTCAAAGGGGGCCTCGCCCGGGGAGTAATTTGATGTAGAACCGCCACTGGGTGAATGACTGGTGTCTTGTAAAGCGACTTGATGACTTGTATAAGAAGACTGTATAAATACAGACCAGTTACCATTTTTACCATTTTAATTAGACACATATACTTTTGTTGTTGTTTGAATTAAGTACATCAGACAAAGTTACAGAAACACATATCTAGTGTAAAAGGAAAGAGCAACTAAAGATATTGGTATAGTCAGATTTCTTATATATCTAACTTTCAATATTATTTGTATGTTTTCTGTGTGTGTGTTGTTGTCTGCAGCATCTCCCACAGTGCGAATTGTACAGTTAGGCCAGGCCTGTAATGTGGAAGAGGAGCAATACAGTGAGAGAATTTACACCATCAGAGAGGGAGGGACTCTGGAGCTACAGTGTCTGGTAACTGGACACCCTCGACCACAGGTAACAAGTCTGTCTCTTTATCTGTTCTAATGTATCAAACATGTGGGGTCAAATGGAAACATCTGTCACAATTTGCCCCTGCCTTCCTGACTGTGTCTCTCTCCTGCCCTGATTGATCCATATTGTTCTCACCTGTCCCTCGTTAACCTGTCCATGTGTTCCTGATTTCCCTGTGTATTTATACCTCCCTCCTTGTGCCAGTCTTTGTCAGATCATTGTTGTTTGTCGTGTTGTTCTCGTTGTTCCTGCCGTATCCTGTCATTAAACCCATTTTTACTTTATCCATGCCTGCATTCCTGCCTCCTGGTCAGCTCCACCACACATGGTCCATCATCTCCACCCTCACAACATGACAACATCCAGTTTGACTAAGAAATATCTTCAGACTCAGTGTCATCAACCATCATCGCCACCATCTGAAAATGGGTACCAAGTTGCCTTTTGCTTTCAGTGTGAATAAAATTCATGATCAAGTCAGAAACCTACAGTCTGCATCCCTTATCATGCCTAAGTGATGATTTACCTTCTGAAGCACTACTGCTAGTTGTGTATTAGGTACTACAAATTATCCCCTCTGGCACCATTGCAGAAACAAATGACTGCAGAAGAGATCAGTGAGCTTATGACCATGGTATGAAGACTAAAACCAGGGCTCATTGTCATCAATGGAAGATGAGGCTTTGAGCTATGATCAAGGAAACACAAACAGAAATCAACCAGAATACCACTATACTATGAAGGATGAAGCAACAAGCTGCATGGTGGTGCAGTTAGTAGCACCATTCAGTGAAAAGGTAGCAGGTTCGTACCTGGGCTGCAACCTTTTCTATGACTTTAGCATGACTACCCCCCCCCCCCCCCCCCCAAGTGCTGTGATTGGCATAACACAAAACTGTTCTGGCCTGCTGAAGCCCCAATGTAGCTAGATCAACCTACAGCGCAAAATCATTTTGCTTCTGCTTCGATCGGTCTAGATTTCTGGGCTAGCAGAGTGCAGCACCTCAGACTAAACACTAAGTTAAACCACAGCCAATACAGAGAGGGAGACATTTAGTAAGGTGGATCATTTGCTGCTTCAGCTCTAGGTATTCCTGATCCTGCAACAGAAGTAAAGAGACGCCATATTTGTTCACTGATACTTGCATTGGTTTTAAAGGCTGACCTTCTGTGTCTGAAACTCTTCAGAATAAAAGCAAAAAAAAAAATTGGCATAATATTTATTATTATAATAATAAGCCAAATAGAAACTAGTTGTTAGTTTCTTTGAGGCAGTCACCAGTTTTTTGGTGCCAGACCAGATGCTTCTAGCAATCA